TCCCTCTCCCCTGTCTACCTGCATGCACATATGGCTTGTACTGCGAGGACAGGACGGTAACATACTCTCCCTCTCACCTGTCTACCTGCATGCACATATGGCTGGTACTACGAGGACAGGACGGTAACATACTCTCCCTCTCACATGTCTACTTGCATGCACATGTGGCTTGTACTGCGAGGACAGGACGGTAACATACTCTCTCTCTCACCTGTCTACCTGCATGCACATATGGCTCGTACTGCGAGGACAGGACGGTAACATACTCTCCCTCTCACCTGTCTACCTGCATGTACATATGGCTGGTACTGCGAGGACAGGACGGAAACATACTCTCCCTCTCACCTGTCTACCTGCATGCACATATGGTTTGTACTGCGAGGAAAGGGGGGTAACATACTCTCCCTCTCACCTGTTTACCTCCATGCACATGTGGCTGGTACTACGAGGACAGGACGGTCACATACTCTCCCTCTCACCTGTCTACCTGCATGCACATATGGCTGGTACTACGAGGAGAGGACGGTAACATACTTCCCCCCTCACCTGTATACCTGCATCCACATATGGCTGGTACTACGAGGCAGGACGGTAACATACTCTCCCTCTCACCTGTCTACCTGCATGCACATATGGCTGGTACCGCAAGGACAGGACAGTGAGGTAAGCACTCATTCTCAATAACGGGGTACAAATGCTGACGCCGCCATGCTTCTCCTACCCTTATTTAGCAAATGTTATTATCAATATGGTTGGATAATGGTGCCAACATCCACCATGCATAAACAGTCAAAAATACCCGTGAAGGTCCCTGTTAGAATTGATCTTTAGTAACCCATGCTTGTCGTAAGAGGCGACTGACGGGATCGGGTGGTCAGGCTCGCTGACTTGGTTGACACATGTCATCGGTTCCCAATTGCGTAGATCGATGCTCATAATGTTGCTCACTGGATTGTCTGGTCCAGACTCGGTTATTTACAGACCGCCGCCATGTAGCTGGAATGTTGCTGAGTGCGGCGTAAAACTAAACTCACTCACTCACTCAAAACAGGAAATTACTGTGTAGGTGTCTTGAACAGGGGAAGTAACTCTTGATGGTCTCATCGTCATTGTGGCCACATTACACGCAGCTGGTCCCTTTGAGTTCGTTAAATAACCGATGTGTACTTTGAATTAAATGTAAAAGCTGATACATCGTGCCTGATAACACTTCGTTCACTACACACTAAGTTAATTCACAACTAATATTGTGTGTATGCCTGCCAAATACACTCGGTTCCTGTAATTGCAACGTGGGATAACAACGAGCATATAATTTATTCTACACATGAAAAGTTTACACTCACTAGTGTAAATGTAGCCATTTACTTCAGTCAACTGTTTTCTAAACTAGATTTTTCAAAATTTTCTATACTGTTTAAAGGTACTGTTTTCGCATCAAATGATGTATTGCAAAACAAATTCGTAACGTTGAAAAGCTTATTGTCATGACGAATTCTTAACAAAACTTTACATCAAAACGCATCTGTTCACAACTTTACATCAAAACGCATCTGTTCACATGCACGATATTTGCACATACTTTTCAGCAATTTGATGCATGGTCCTCGTGCAATTCAAATGCATAAGGGTTGCAGTTGGTTCCTCCAAGTGGCGAAATTCGTCTTCAATGTAACCATATATCTATATACCATACGTGTGTGTGTGTGTTTTGAGTGCTTGAAATAAGTCTCAACTTTTGATGGGTAGTATATTTTCACGTCAGTTGAATGTATAGAGGGAGGTAACTCTTCAAACCCTCGTCCTCAAAGTCAACAAATTAAACGAAGCTGGCTTAATATATCTTTAGTACACAATAACATCGTTTTCAGAACTTACGTTTGCTTTGTGTGAATACGATTAAACTGTAATTTTGCATTAGCCTTAAAGCGTCCCAATATTCAGTTTACCTGTTCAATAGATTGAATCCGATTAAGACCCACGACCACGTCTATGGGGCTGACAAACCTACAAATATACTACCCATCAAAAGTTTAGACTCACTAGTGTAAATGTAGCCACTTACTTGTCCACTGTTCTAAACTAGCTTTTTTGCAAAATATTCCATACTGTTTAAAGGTACTGTTTAGTTATGAACTGGTGTATTGTAAAACATATTCGTAACATTGAAAAGATTATTGTCATGAGTTCAGTAAATGATTAAAATCTGTGAAAATTGGCGAATTCTTAACAAAACTTTACACCAAAACGAATCTGTTCACATGCACGACATTTGCTCATGCCTTTCGCAATTTGAAGCATCATCCTTGTGCAATTCATCTGCATAAGGTTTTCAGTTGGTTCCCCCAAGTTGGTGGAGAAATTCATCTTCGATGTGACCACATACATATACATAACATATAGTGAGTGCTTTAAGTGAGTCTAAACTTTTGATGGGTAGTATATATTCACAGCAAAATGGGCTTCATACATTGTACCCATAAGGGGTAATCGAACCCAGGTCTTCGGTGTGACGAGCGAACGCTTTAACAACTAGGCCAGCCCATCGACTCCTGCCGACTAAGGAACACATATCTGTTCATCTGCTTGTGGCGCGGGCGGTTCGTTAGCCCAGTGCTAAAAGCGTTCGCTCGTCACGCCGAAGGCCCGGGTTCGATTCCTTACATGGGTCAGATGTGTGCAGCCCATTTCTGGTGTCCCCAGTCGTGATATTGCTGAATATTGCTAAAAGCGGCGTAAAACCAAACTCCATCACTCACTTAGACGACTGCACCACTCACGACCCTGACTCTATGGAATTCTGCGAATGGAATTATACTCGAGTGTTGATATCAATAGATAAAACACTTTGATTTGATTAAGTCATTTATTGTGAAATGTAACGATTTGTACACATTGTTGTACATATATGTAACAGCCACGGAAGTTCAAGACAGTAAACATACCAAACAATTCCAGCAGAAATATATCTATATGGATACACATGTACATACTGTTCAACACAACCCCTTATGATAGATTTATCACATCTTTCACTTGAAGTATGGTCACAACACAAGAAAATTTGTTTTGGAAAGTACAAAACTATGTTTCTTAAAATCATATTTTGGATTTAAAAAAGTTTAGCAGAGTTCTAAAATTCAACACTGAAATTTGTAAGAATGAGGGTACAGTTACGAGAACAATGCGGGAGACAAAACCCGAGTGTTTTTACAACAGATCGTATTTGTGTGGTCAAACTACTATTCATCTGTCTGGAGCACATGTAAATTACCAGTTTAACGAATAGGCCAGTGTACAAAGCGAACGGATATTTAATGTTTAACTCAAAGCCATGACGTTTGTGTGAATCGCCAGGTGTTTATCTAGTGCATTGGTTTTGTGAGTTGGGTTTAACGACACTTTGTACAGTAGTCCAGTTATCTATATGTGAGATGAAACCCTGAAGTGATACAGGTTACAGACGCTGTACCGAAACCCATGAACCCGGGTACAGTGCTGACAGAACTAGAAACAGAATGGGCGAACTGGAATTCGAAACCAAACTGTTCGTGTCATGCCCAAGGGGCGCAACTCTACACAGCCACTTCCGGTGCCCTGCCCTCGTAGACCAGCGATGCCCGTTAGTATCAATACACTATCAGGGTATATCTGTACCACACGAAACCCAAATGACAAAATCCACTGGCCCAAATTCTTCAGGTTTGCTCTAGAACTGACGCCTTAGGTTTGTTGAAATTATTTATATGCTGTACGTAAAACGTACGTTAAAGACTGTACGTATATAATCAGGACAAATATAATACGTCATAATCAAAATATCCACTCATATATACATGTATAATATACTCCAATCTTCACTTGTATATTAGTCTCATAATATAGCTGTTTTCCAGTATTCCGAAGTAGGTAAGAGTAAAAAATTACGTACTGGCGTGGCTTGATGTGTGTGATTGCAAAAAACAAGTATATTCGTTAAAACAGTCATAAAACAAACACTTACAAACATATTATTAATACACAAAACACAATAATATTAATGGGAACCAAATTATGCAAGGATCATGTTTTGATAATATCAATAAGACACTACGTGATTAGTGTATAAGGAAAACAGTGAAAGAGACAAAGGAAATGTTAGGTGAAAATAGCTGAAGCGTCAGTGACGGTAAACGTGCGAGTCAGATCTATTTATACTTGCATGTACATGTATTTAGCACGGCACAGGACCAACATGCGTGAGGTCAAGGTCACCCTACAGCGCCAAAGCTCCGGAAAATGATTTGAAGACGACGATGCCTTTCAGTTGACCGTCGATAATATTATGTAGTTGGATAGACCAGCAAAATGTCGGCAATATCGATTGACATCTTGATGGTGCCCAGAAAGATAAAGGTCAAATGTGGAAGGGTGAGCCATGATCCACATGACAGAGACGATTTCCAGGTCAAATCCCCTGCATAAATAGCGGAATGTTTGATACATGTTGGCAAAACCTAAGTGTATCAATATTTGATAGTGATACATAAAGATCTACTATAATATATTCGAAACAATCGACCAGCGTAGCAGAGATTTGAATGCAAAACTGGTTTTGTTACTTCACGCTACAACAAAAGACATGTCCTGTAGACGCTCCTGGGGCGTTCTAGGGTCCGTAAGGGTAATGCTAATGAAAAACCAACTAACGAAATCAGGATAAATTTGTTTTCAGAAAGTGTTCAAGATGGACACAAGAAGAACGTAAAAGCCGACAGCCACTAATGTTAACATCGTTCATCGTTGCGTTCTGTAAAATCACCATTAAAGACAAATTACAATATTTACCAAGTCTCTGGAGCAATATCGTCTCAAGTGCCGCATTTGACATTTGTGGATTTTTGATCGTCCACTCCATATAGTGCATATGTTTGATAATATACTCAACTAAACGTTAGGGATCCTGGGATATATTTGAATATTTGTTCTGGTGAAGAATGAGGACTTATATTCCCTATATAATATTTCAGGCTTCTTAAAAGGTCCATCGTGCTTTTGAAACATTTAATGACACTATGTTCTAGCCACACTGAACGATACACGATAATTCCCCAAAATATCAAGTTTATCAACATATCAAGAGTATATTGCATTACACACAAAACATAAGAATAAAAAGTGAAATCAAATTAAAAGTATGATCTATATATTTTTATAACCATCAACTTTGTAAACTTTTAAAAGCAAATCAGTGAGTATTTTCTGAAACATTACGTCACAATGTCCGTTTTCAGTATTTGCAAAAAATCTGCAAACCGTCAGTGAAAAAAGGCCTAACACATAAACTGTGTTTCTATATCACAGATAACTTTCAGTGTATTAAAACTAGTATATAAAGAACAAGACGTTGTTTCATGAGGCGTACTTTCAGAGTCATATTTACATGCTTCTGAATATACATTTGAAATTCATTTTCAGGGCGTAGGTGAAACAACACGAAGCCCTCACGGTGTATAAATCAGATCTACATGCATGATAATTACAAAACTCATTAATGACCCGCAATTACCAAGATTGGTGGTGTGAATATACCACCCGTTTAAGAAACTGGAAAAGGTAGATATCTTCTTTGTTTTGAAATGGTTATATGACTGCATGGCTTCAGCAGCGAATCAATCCATGGGCGTTGGTTCGTGGTCGTGCAGTGGTCCCTCTTCCTAAAAAGCAGCAAGTTGACTGAGGCACATTCAGTGGTATCGAGAAGTCTGGGTAGCGGTATATCCGTTGGTTTACAATCGCCTGTATGCTCCAACCTGGCTCTTGCAGTTTGGACACTGGTGGACGACGTCTTTGGTGCCATCGATGCAGAATGGGATGAGGCAACATCCGAGCCAGCATCTGGAAAGGAAGAAATAACAAGAGTGAGTGAGTAAGGTTTTACGCCGCTAGCAATATTCCAGCAATACCACGGGACATCAGAAATGGGCTTCACACATTGTGCACATGTAGGGAATCCAACCCGGGTCTTCAGCGTGACGAGCGGACGCCTTAACCATTACGCTACCCCATCACATCAGAGATAACTAACAATAATATGAACGTCTTTCGCGCTACATCCAAGGGTTCATCATAACCGAATGTTCGGTACATCAGACTGTTACATCAAGCCATGACTGTTCGTTACATCAGACTGTTTGTTACATCAAGCCATGACTGTTCCTTTGATCCCATTGTTTGTTACATCAAGCCATGACTGTTCGTTACATTCGATTGTTTGTTACATCAAGCCATGACAGCTCGTTACATTCGATTGTTTGTTACATCAAGCCATGACAGTTCGTTACATCAGACTGTTTGTTACATCAAGCCATGACTGTTCGTTACATCCGATTGTTTGTTACATCAAGCCATGACAGTTCGTTACATCAGACTGTTTGTTACATCAAGCCATGACTGTTCGTTACATCCGATTGTTTGTTACATCAAGCCATGACAGTTCGTTACATCAGATTGGTTGTTACATCAAGTAATGACTGTTCAGTACATCAGATTCTTACGTCAAACCATGACAGTTTGTAACAGTTGTATTGTATGATAGTGACTAAATTACTACACTGATTCAGCCTAAACTTGGAAACGGGTTTAACAGGCTTGGAAATTGTGTTGTCAGTTTCCACAGTGGGTCCCCTTTTACCATCTTCCCTGGACGACCGAGGATGATACAAAAGACTTACCCCACAATGCAGATGATTCCAGCAGCTAGCCACGTGAGAGATCCGGTTTCGTAGTAGGTTGATGTTACGATCTGAGCGTTACATCGAGGGCATTGCATCTGGGCGGGAGACTCGCCAAGTCTAGCTGGATGAAGCACCACTGTTGATGGTTGGGCCATCACCACGGCTGGGGAGAAGAGTTTAATATACATGACAGTGTACATATACAGTGTTATATTTCAGTGTAATATACATGACAGTGTATATATACAGTGTTATATTTCAGTGTAATATACATGACAGTGTACATATACAGTGTTATATCTCAGTGTAATATACATGACAGTGTATGTAATATACATGACAGTGTTATATGTTATATTTCAGTGTAATATACATGACAGTGTACATATACAGTGTTATATTTCAGTGTAATATACATGACAGTGTACATATACAGTGTTATATCTCAGTGTAATATACATGACAGTGTATATATACAGTGTTATATCTCAGTGTAATATACATGACAGTGTATATATACAGTGTTATATCTCAGTGTAATATACATGACAGTGTATATATACAGTGTTATATCTCAGTGTAATATACATGACAGTGTACATATACAGTGTTATATCTCAGTGTAATATACAGTGTTATATCTCAGTGTAATATACATGACAGTGTATATACAGTGTTATATCTCAGTGTAATATACATGACAGTGTATATATACAGTGTTATATCTCAGTGTAATATACATGACAGTGTATATATACAGTGTTATATCTCAGTGTAATATACATGACAGTGTACATATACAGTGTTATATCTCAGTGTAATATACATGACAGTGTATATATACAGTGTTATATCTCAGTGTAATATACATGACAGTGTACATATATACATGACAGTGTATATATACAGTGTATATAATATACATGACAGTGTATATATACAGTGTTATATCTCAGTGTAATATACATGACAGTGTACATATACAGTGTTATATCTCAGTGTAATATACATGACAGTGTATATATACAGTGTTATATCTCAGTGTAATATACATGACAGTGTAATATACATGACAGTGTATATATACAGTGTTATATCTCAGTGTAATATACATGACAGTGTACATATACAGTGTTATATCTCAGTGTAATATACATGTATATACAGTGTATATCTCAGTGTAATATACATGACATGACAGTGTTATATATACAGTACATATACAGCGTTATATCTCAGTGTAATATACATGACAGTGTACATATACAGTGTTATATCTCAGTGTAATATACATGACAGTGTATATATACAGTGTTATATCTCAGTGTAATATACATGACAGTGTACATATACAGTGTTATATCTCAGTGTAATATACATGACAGTGTATATATACAGTGTTATATCTCAGTGTAATATACATGACAGTGTATATATACAGTGTTATATCTCAGTGTTATACAGTGTACATCAGTGTATATCTCAGTGTAATATACATGACAGTGTGATGTGTTATATATACAGTGTTATATGTTATATCTCAGTGTATATACATGACAGTGTATATACAGTGTTATATCTCAGTGTAATATACATGACAGTGTATATATATATCTCAGTGTAATTATATTTCAGTGTAATATACAGTGACAGTGTATATATACAGTGTTATATCTCAGTGTAATATACATGACAGTGTATATATACAGTGTTATATCTCAGTGTAATATACATGACAGTGTATATACAGTGTTATATCTCAGTGTAATATACAGTGTTAGTGTATATTTCAGTGTATATATACAGTGTTATATACAGACGTTCTCAGTGTATATATGACAGTGTATGTTACAGTGTACATATACAGTGTTATATTTCAGTGTAATATACATGACAGTGTACATATACAGTGTTATATCTGTAATATACATGACAGTGTACATATATGTTATACAGTGTTATATCTCATTGCAGCGACGGTTTATATCAGTGTTATATATATAGTGTAATATGACAGTGTATATATACAGAGTTATATCTCAGTGTAATATACATGAGTGAGTTTAGTTTTAGCAATATTCCAGCTATATGGCTGTGGTCTGTAAACAATCGAGTCTGGACCAGACAATCCAGTGATCAACTGCATCAGCATCGATCTACGCAATTTGGATACGATGACATATCAACCTAGTCAGCGAGCCAGACCACCCGATCCCATTAGTCTTACGACAAGCATGGATTACTGGAGATCAATTCTAACCCGGATCTTCACGGGTAATATACATGACAGTGCATGCATATACAGTGCAATATACATGACAGGCTATTTATATGTCTTACTCCTTAACGTTTGGTAAGAGTAACCTAATACTGTTTAGATACTGAACAAAGTTAAGGATCACGAACTCTTTTAGGGTTATTTTTATGAAGTGGTGCGCTCAGTCTTCGTTACAGAAATTGTCACGTTCCATAGGTTTTGCTCAGTATATATGCAATTTCATACGAAACACTTAAGGTATTGTGGAATGTAGGATTAATCTTCATACAGCTGAGTAGTGCATCCCTCAAGCCATCACTTCTGTACTACATCCCAGATGGGACTCGACCCCCAATCTACTAGAATCTGTACTTTACTGAGAAAGTGTATATAAAGTCATATACCACACTCTCTCCTTAACTGACATCAATGCGTGTATCTATATGGTATGTTATATATTCAAAGTCATACAGCACCGATCTCGCAATACAAACAAGGAAACTATTCGTGTACTCACTGGTGCTTGTCTGGCCATATCCCGGGGGTGGGGCGTTGTACCCAGGTGGGGCGCCGTACCCAGGTGGGGCGCCGTAGCCAGGTTGAGTAGGGGCGTACCCAGGTTGAGCTGGGGCGTAGCCAGGTTGAGCAGGGTAGGCTGGAGGTGGTCCTTCTGGAGATTTGTTCGACATTCTTGCTTACAGTGTTGGCAGCTGAAAAAAAGGAATATATTTAATATGGTCTATCGTGGACTTAAACGCGTTACTGGGGCGGTGGGGTTATTGCAAATGGCTAGTATTCTCCTTTAAAGCGTTTGCTCGTCACGCCGTAGACCCGCGTTCGAATCCCCACATGGGTACAATCAGAGATGCCAACCCTAATTTAGGCCAGTAAGTATTTTGGCCAAAACCTGATGCAAAAATTAGTATTTTGGGGCCAAAATTAGTTTAACTAACTAATAAATATAGATATTCTAAGAACTTGTCATTAACATTGTCCTCATCTAAGTCAGTAGAAAGTATCCACATATAGCTTGATACTGATTGTAGAATGTGGTTGAAATTTATTGTGTATGGTACGTGTGCTATTTGATAATTTAATTTAATATATATTTTCCAAAAAAATCGTATGTTTTTAGTGCTAACGTAGTCGCGTATTTTGTGTTGATTTCTCGTAACGAAGACGATAAAATCGTATGGGTTGGCATCTCTGGTACAATGTGTGAAGCCCATTTCTGGTGTCCCCCGCCGTCATATTAATGGAAAATTGACTTGATTGTAAATATAGCATTTACTGGTACGTCATATTAATGGAAAATTGACTTGATTGTAAATATAGCATTTACTGGTACGTCATATTAATGGAAAATTGACTTGATTGTAAATATAGCATTTACTGGTACGTCATATTAATGGAAAATTGACTTGATTGTAAATATAGCATTTACTGGTACGTCATATTAATGGAAAATTGACTTGATTGTAAATATAGCATTTACTGGTACGTCATCTGATAGGTTCCAGAGTATTGATTTGAAGACAGATGCGTGAATTTTCCTGTTCAGTTTAACGCCACAGAGTATCTCACACAAGTGACTTTTATTATGACATAATGTATCAACACAATTCGACAATTGGAATCTCTATATATACATAATCTGCTTCTGCTTGTCGTGGGGTAGCCTAGTGGTTAACGCCGTAGCTTGTCACGCCGAAGACCCGGGTTCGATTCCCACATGGGTACAACGTGTGAAGGCCATTTCTGGTGATGTTGCTGGAATACTGCAAAATGCGGCGTAAAACCTTACTCACTCACTCATACATTCACTCACACACTCACTCTGAGACCAGTCCATTTCTGGTGATGTTGCTGGAATATTGCTAAAGGCGGCGTAAAACCTCACTCACTCATCCATTCACTCACACATTCACTCTCAGAGGTCCATCAGCGTGGGTTTTTCTCCAACATTACTGACTGACTGAGTTTAGTTTTACGCCGCTTTTAGCAATATTCCAGCAATATCACGGCAGGGGACACCAGAAATGGGCTTCACACATTGTGCCCATATGAGGAATCGAACCCGGGTCTTCGGCGTGACGAACCAACGCTTTAACCACTAGGCTACCCCACCGCCCTCTCCCACATTAAGGCGACATGACGTGATATAACGGGATCACCAAACAAAACGTCTCTAAACCCAAGTCACTCACTAATAGTAACCAGCTGTTCATAACAACTACTGTAAACATGTTGTCAGCCCAAGAAAGTACACATAACCAGGAACTACACACGGATCCAGATACACAAGACGTTCAAAACGTTCGATAGCTCGCGTATATTATTAAAGGCGTATTGATCCCACTTCCAGTCCATTCTAAATGGCGTGTACTTGGGAATATACAGATGGTGTATTTATGCATGCATATATTCCCATTGTCGTGGTTGCTAGGCCACCATACACGATCTTTGTTTTATTTATAGCGTTTAGCAGACAGTCGCCGCGTGTTTGTTCATCCAAGAACAACAGAAAGAATAAAATGGTTTTCTGACATAGGCTCACTGCTTGGCTCACAAGGGCGGATGGGTAGCCTACGTTGAAGCGTTCGCTCGTCACGCCGAAGGCCCGGATTCGATTCGCACATGGGAATCTGAGGTCCCCTGCCGTGATATTGCTGGAATATTGCTAAACGCATAAACCTAAATCTTACACATTAACTTTGATCCATTTGATCCATGTTTTACAAACATGTGTATATTTGAACGGATTTGTATCAGGCTGTATGTATATTCTTCTGTGTTTCCCAACTCCTGCCGCACTGAACTTCTATTTGAATTGAGTGAGTGAGTGAGTTTAGTTTCACGCCGCATATATTCCAGCTATATGGCGGCGGTCTGTAAATAATCGAGTCTGGACCAGACAATCCAGGGATCAACAACATGAGCATCGATCTGCGCAATTGGGAACCGATGACATGTGTCAACCAAGCCAGCAAGTCTGACCACCCGATCCCGTTAGTCGCCTCTTACGACAAGCATGGGTTACTGAAGGCCAATATTCTAACCCGGACCTTCACGGGTTCTATTTAAAACAATAAGCAGTTTGCTTTTCTCAATTTTCCCGGGCAATTGTGGGCGCTGATGTGATGAAAAAGGTATATAAGTATTCTCTTAACCCTGCACAATCAAATAAAACTGATCTTGTCCTTTTTTTCTATTTACATTTATTAAAAACTGTTCTAGAAGCCAAGCGACTTGATCTACATTGTAAATCAATTGAAGAACTCCCTCCAAGTAATCCGAATTTTATCATTTTATCATTTTATAAAATAACTTACACAGTAATTATAGAACATTTTTGTGTTTTCTTTTTCGCCAAGCTGCTCTCTGTCTGGTTGATGTTTTACATGATATACATATAAAGCATGGGTCGCGTAGCAGACGGAAAAAACCTGATTGTTGTCACTGACTTGGTGTCCGTCTGTTCTCTTAATATAACACTTGGGAAAACATCTTTCCGCGCCAAAAGTGTCCACTTACCAATATAAAAGTCATGTAAAACAGGACTTTGACAAAGACTTTGATAATGCATCCCGAAGATGTTTGATGTATTTCACTGTGAACCAAAACGGTAAATATTAATAAGTGAGTGCGTGAGTGAGTTGGGTTTTACGCCGCTTTAAGCAATATTCCACCAATATCACGGCGAGGGACACCAGAAATGGTTCCACACATTGTACCAATGTGGGGAATCGAACCCGGAACTTCGGCGTAACGAGCAAACGGTTAATATTAATAACATCACGTGAATAACAACCAATTACCCATGTGTTTGATTACTACGTGTAATGTACGTTAAGGTCTCTTCCCTAAAGTACCATGTATCCAGACAAGTTAAAAGGCATGTGAATAATACATGATGGTTAATAGGGTCTAAATTCGTGTCAACTGATTGATGACACGATGAATATTTTGCAACATGTTTTATTGTCGAAAACTACAAATGGACACATATGCACAACTTTCTGTCGCATTCCATCGGCAACAAAGGATAAGAACGTGTATTACATTACTGAGGAGTGTAATTCAGATGGGATAGATTTATGAACATGCTGAAATTCAATATTTATTTAGTTTATTTTTGAAAAAAACTCTGTTTGTTGTTTAACGCCGCACTCAGCAATATTCCAGCTATATGACGGCAGTCTGTAAATAATCAAGTCTGGACAAGACAATCCAGTGATCAACAGCATGAGCATCGATCCAAGCAACTGGGGTACGATGACAAGTGTCAACCAGGTCAGCGAGCCTGACCACCCGATCCCGTTAGACGCTCGTTGCTGAATATAAATTCTCACCCGGATTTTCCAAAACAAAAAGAGTATGAATAAAGTATCTGTTTATTAATTATAACGACTCAACAATGTTTGTTAACATGTATCAAATGAATAAAGATACATGTGTGATTCTGTGATTCGCAACAAAATATATAGTTATACCCATTGCTTTGTCCATATGCGCTCGTCTAGAAAATGGCATGGTACCCATGTGGAGAATCGAACCTGGGGCTTCGGCATGACGAGCCAACGCTTTAACCACTAGGCTACCCCAACGCCCCTCACGGAGATGAAGGGTATAGGTACTGATAAGTCCAGCGAGTGCGGATGCTGATGGCGTGAATAGGGCCTGTAAGTCTCACGAGGCGATGCTTCAGGTACTGAGCAGGTTCTCGGCTGCCTTTGCGCGCGCGACCTTGCGAAATACCAGATTTCCGATGACAAGGTATATTCAAGAACCAGTTTCTGGTTCCAAATTGCGCGACCGCCAAATATGACTTTACTAGACAGGACCAAGTGTACAACCATGCTTGGATGTCAAAGCAGCTGACAGTCGTAATAGTTGGCTAATTTGGGAGTGGTTAGATCGGAAACTTGTTATTCCTGCAAGGATTATCGGTTCCTTACTGTCAACTGACAACCTTGAGACCATATGAAATTGTATGAAACGTTGCTTTTCACCGGAAGTACTAAGGTCTCGCGTGCCGTGACCTACTTACGGGCCCTAGACGTCGATTCACGACGCCTTTTCTGGGCAAGAAGTCAGTGCGAATACCTGGACGTAATTTAATACATCTAACCAGGTAAAAGTTGCATGTTTTAAGGTTGGGCGCAGTCTGTGAATGTCAGCAGTATCTATGGCCATGCGTAACGGTAGCCTGCCAACACTTAAGCCTGGGATCGGCGCACCAGTGTGTGGCACGTTATTTAGGTCCGACAAGATATATAATATCCATTGCAGGCAATAGTACCCACTGCTTACTGGCATTTCATAAACGCACGAGAATATTTTGTTTCAGTAAGAACTATAATGCATCATTTATTTAAACTTAAGATCAAGATACTTATAGATATAACGAGAAAACTATCCAGGGGAGACAACTCCGTAGGTAAAGGATTTCGACTGTCTGCATTTTATCTATTGCCCATCTCCTTCAGGTCCTGAATTTTTCATTTCCTCGTGAAATAATAAAATGTTTTCTTATCTGAATTTTTCGACGCTGCACTGATGTGATAAAAAAGAACACTCGTGCACTGCCACACTCAAGTGAGCTTGATCAGTCTTCATATATATTTACAAAAAATGTTTCCCGAAACAAAGTTATTTAATCTACATCATAAATAAACCTAAACACAAATACCAAGCGATCAAAACATTC